TCATCCTCTTCATCCTCTTCGTCATCTTCATCGTCCTAGTGGTGGACAGTTTGTGAAGATGGCTGCCTCAGTTTGATCTCTGACATCACGAGTCATACATTCTGTCCTGAAGTGAAATAATATTTAGAATAATATTAAAGTCATTCCGATGATAAAAGTGCAGTTGGTGTTTGTACTTGATTTATTTCTATTTTGACTGAAGCTCAGAGGAGCTGAAACATGATGTCATCCATGTAATGGTCTCGTCTCGTCTTCAGGACGTCCGTGTCTCCCCCAAAGTAACAATGACCCCTTGACAATGTGCGTGGGAAACCCCCAAATGTGAGGTCAGACGTCTCCGCCTCCTGCTGAGCTGACACTGATTCCAGGTCAGTCGCTCAGCTTTGAATTGGTCGTCGGTAAGCACCACATCAGTTAAACTGTCCGTCACTAAGTTTACTAAGACAAAGAGAGTTTCCGATGTTCAGGTGAAATCTTGGTTTCTCCTTACAGGCACTTTTCCAAAACAATGGAAGCATCACGAGACCAAAGAAGCCAGAACACGGTTGATCTCAACAATGTGAATATCCAACGCCAAGAGAACAAATACGGTCACACTCGGTTTATCTCATTCGCTGGAGCTCGTGAAGTTTCACCTTCACTGTCTTTTTCAGGTTTCATAAAAAAACATTTAGATGGTGAGAAATAAAAAGTGTGATTCTCTGTTTGAACGCTGACGACCGGAGCACGACAGTGAAGGTGGACAGGAAGTGGAAGCCTTGACGTGCCGCCATGTTGCTGCGTCACCATGACGCCATTCATCTGGCCCTTTCACAATAAATCATTTCAGCTTCACGTTACTAAGGTTCTTCTTCAGAGGCTACGCTAACTGTACGAGCTAACTGAGTTGCGTAACCAGCTGACCACAGACGAGCTCAGTATCATCAGCAGATGACACATTGGTCCTTTTTTGTTTCGGGCAGACGCCCGATTGGTTTCACTGTGGCGTGCTAACGATGCTATGATGTTCCAACTGTCGGGTTGCTAACGTACCGTTTCTGCCCATGTGGCTTTAATGAGGTAATAAGTCCCTGGAAACGCCTGGAAACGCCTGGAAACGCCTGGAAACACCTGGAAACGCCTGTCTCTGAGTCAGTCTGTGGTTTGCCTGTATCTCGACAGAAAACGTAAGGTCAGTGTCGTCTGAGGAGAATAAGTCACGTGGAAATCCGCCACTCGCATGCCCAGAAAATACATTCAGAAAAAAATGTGGAAATTATTGCAAATTTAGTGTCTTTGAAAAGCAAATTGAGCCGAGAGGAGTTAATCTCTTCCATCAATTAGTTTTCATCTAAACATATTTTCATTCTCATACGCTGGCGTGACATTTGGAACATATGAAGGAAAGGAAGTGAAGAAGGGAATTAGACGAAGGATGAAAGGATGAGGAGAAATAAAGACTGATAAGAATAAATAATGAGAAGCTGACCAAGAGACAGAGATGAAACATAGGAAAGAGTGGAGGTAAGAGAGGAGACAAGGAGGGAGGAGGAATGAAAAGGAGACAGATAAAGTGGAAGAAGAGAGTAGAGGAAGCAAGGAGATGAAGATAAGTGGACAAAGTGAGGGGACAGGAAGTAAGTGTGCCTAAACAACAGGAAATGACAAACGAGGAAATGAAAGAAAGGAAAGAATGAAAAAATGAAAAGTGAGGTTACACGAGAGGAAGGAAACAAGGGAACAGGTGGCGGAAATGAGGGAAAAGAGTCGAGGTTGAGCCCAAGATAAGGAGACAAGTGTAGAGGCTGAGAAATCGAAAAGGAAGGAAACGAGGAGAAGGGAGGTGAAGAAGAGGAATGGATCCCGCCCAGTCCAGGTGAGTCTTAAAAACAACAAGTTTATTTTTCTAAAGTATTTACAATGTGGAGGTTTGAGTCTCGTCACCTGGAAACATTTCAATACATAAAAGACATTCACTTCTATCATAAAAAACAAAGAATCAAATATCATGTGACTACAAAGAAGGAATCTAATCTAGAAACAGAAGACGTAGAAAAGTCTGAGGTATTTCTGGTGTATTGAGGTGATCTGTGATTCATGAGTATTGTTTTGCCCTCGTTCAATCGTCAGTATTCGAACGCACGACGCCTCAAAAGCCTCCCGTCGTTTTACCGACTTCGCACGGAGTCGCGTGTGTTTGACGCACCGAAGGTAAAATGACGGAAAAAAATTTAAATACAGAAAAATATTCATCTTTGAGTTTGAATCCTGATGTTCATCATGGTCAGCAGCAGCATTGAGACATTCACCGTGTATGGCATCACAGGAGGGACAAAAAACTGAACATACAAATCATCATGTTTGAAACAACGAGTTCTCGAGCTTTGATTTCTCTCTGACAACTCGACTGGTTTCCAAGGCGACGCCTCAGATTCGGTACCCGTGAAAATAAAAAAAGGGGTGAGAGACGACCTTTGACCTCAGCACTCTTGTGTCTGGCTGCAGTATAGCTCATAAACGCCTCCTCCATGTTAGCAGATGGGACATGAACCAAACTAAAACCCAAAGTAGACGTTAAATAAAAGTTTCTGTCTTTTCAGTTTGTGTTTAATTAGTTTGATGATAGAAAAACAGACGTCATGATTGACAGGTGACACTGACACAGGATTGGTCGAGCAGGTTCGTGTGTTCAGAGTTACTCTTCAGCTGAAGTGACGAACGAAAGCCACAGGGGGGCAGTGATGAGGTAACAGAGTCCAGGAGGTCAAAGGTCGTTCATCAGGTAAAAAACAGTTGGCACGTGACACACACACACACACACACACACACACACAC